GCCCTTGGGCCTGGGTACTTGACCCCTACTTCCCCAGTGAGCGGGAAGGCTGAGGGCGTGACCTGGGGCCCAGCGTCTTTTTGCTTGATAGAGACCTGTAGGGAAACAAAGGCGCGCCCCAGAATTTAGGTTTTGCGGGGATCGGGAACGCCCCTGGAACCTTGTTCTAGGGGTATGAATCTCGTGGACTTAGTGTGACCTCTCGCTCACCACAGCTCTGGCTTAGAGAACGTCAATTTATTATTTTTTTGAGGAATAATACAGCGCAAATTTTAAGCGGATGAATTTTTAAGTTCTAATACTGTATACTATAAACCCTTATGACCACTACCCAGAAATTTCCTTTCTTTAAAAACATCTTGAAACATAACAGAGCTCATGAGGCAAACTAATTTTAAGTGTACAACTCCATACGTTTTTATAAATGTAACTGTTACAAACGGCCCACAAGAAAACACCCGCACGTAGGTTTCATGCGACCAGTAAAAGCTGACTTATTCTGCTTTGGTGCAGGCACACAGATTAAGAAAGATGTCGGTTGGGCTGGGGATGTAGCTCAGTGGCGCCATGCCTGCCTGGCAAGTGCAAGGTCCTGAGTTTGATCCCTGGTTCCGCCAAAAAAAGGAAGATGTCAGTCCTTAGCCAGAGGAGAAGAGGTTTACATAGTGTTGGGGAAAGGGGTTGTAATCCTAAAGAATCTGGAGTGGAACTTTTGGGGTCAAGGTACCCAGGACGGTCAGTGCAAGTGTGCAGATAATACCACACTGGACATTGTATATCCCGTCCTAAATTTTCTTTATGGCCATCTGTTCTGTTTACTGATGACAGCATGGTCCTTTAGTGGTTTTCTGTTATTTGTGGAAGGCATCATGTTTGCTGAGAGGGTCCCACTTACGTCAGGCATAATAGTAACAAACTTTTTAAGTTGCAAAACGTATTTATAGGGCTTGGGGTGTAGCTCTGGTAGTGCTTGCCTAGCTCGCTGAAAGCCATGAGCTGACTGAATTCAGTCCCCAACATCTCAAGAAAAAAGTATCCAGGGATTTAGCTCAGTGGTGCTGCTGCCTGTGTCACAAGCACATGGTCTGGAATTCAATCTTCAATCCCCCATACCAAAAAAAAAAAAAAAGTTATATGACTTAGCAAGAAAAACAACAGTATTCACAGCCCCAAATTCATAGCATCAAAGAATCTTCTGAAAGGAAAATGTATCTCCTCATTCAACAAAATACAATTTAAAGTTCTAAATTCCTCCTCCTTATTCATACACACATAAAGTTTTATACAATCAACTCCTTTTCTTCTGCCTTTGTGTTCTACATACTTTCCTATCTTAGTAACTGGATTGTTGTTGGTGTTTTTAATTGAGGAATAATTAACATACAATAAAAAATCAGCCTTTTTATTGGATAGCTTTCTTCTGACATCTATACACAATCATGCAATCACTACATTCATTGTACAGAACAGGGGGACTAATGGGGATGGAAATGATCCAACGTATGCTACATGCATATAAATACAGGCAAAGTGAAACCCATTATTCTGTATAAATAATATTCTAATAAATATGCACTAAAATATAGAATAGTTGCATTACCCTCTCTGTAGTCCACAGGACATTTTTTTTGGGGGGGTACCGGGGATCAAACACAGGATCTTGTGCTTGTGAAGTAGGCAGTGGAATCATTTAACTAAATCCCCAGCCTTTCATAGGACTATTTTAATGATCCTATGATAAAAGGGGATCCTTTGCCTTAAAAAGAGGAAAAGGTGATCCCAAACAAAGGCAAGCACTTTCTGATGAAGTTAAGAGCCATACTTTCTGGCTTTAACGTTCTGTGTGAGAAAGAGTTACACTCAGTGCAACCTATGCAGGGCCATACATCTCAACTTTGCATGTGACTCCTCTGAAGGTTAATTGCATGGGGTCTATGAAAATACAGAGAAGCGCCTTTTCATTTTGTTTTATTTAATGAAGAAAACCAGAAAGGATTGTGAAGCATTTTGGTCACTGATATGAGAAAGGTGTGCTTTTCAGAGACCCATCAAAACCTGAGCAATGGTAAAAACACACCTGTAATTCCAGTACTCTGGGAGGTTGAGGCAGGGGGATCGCAAATTCCATTGCAGCTTGGGCAATTTAGTGATTTAGTCCCTATCTGAAAATCAAAACAGAAAAGTTTGGGGATATAGCTCAGAGTGAAGGCCTTGGGTTCAATCCCTAGTTAAAAAAAAAAAGGTAAGGGGATGTTAGGATTTTGGGGGTCTTCCTGGAAAGAGCTAGGGGCTGTATCTCACCTGTTTAGGTAAAAAAGAACAAGGATTTATACATACAAAGAGAAACTGTGCTCCAGGGCAAGAAGGTTAAGAGCCTAGCTAAATCTGGATTGCAGTTACCTTCTGAGAAAGAGCAGGGCTTCTGGCTACAATTTATTCTGGGATCTGGAAAAGGCCAGTTAGAGTAAAACCTGAATGGATGGCAACTTTCCAAATTGGGGGGGGGGGGAAAGGAAGAAAAGCCTTCCACGTCCCACAGCACTCACTTCCCCGTAATTCTAGAGGGTAAAAAGGATGATATAAAGTGGCTTTCAATCTTTAGATGGCAACAAGGGCAGATCTGATGCCATGCTGGAGCTGTGTAAACTGAAGTTCACTGAAGAAGCCACATTTCTGTTGAAGATCCCTTGTTTTGGGTGATTAGAATATTGTGACTGTAGAGACATGGAATGTTCTAGATCATCTAGTGCCAAAATTATTGTGGGCTACTTTAGGCCCTCAATAGCCATTTACTTAACTTTTGTATCAGATCTAAGATTCCTTTTGTTTTGTTTCACTATAAATTTTAGTTTATGCCCGGGATTTAGCTCAGTGGCCCCACACCTGCCTTGCAAAGGGCAAGGTCCTGAGTCGGATCCCCGCTACAAAAAAAATTTAGTTTATGATATAAAAAGTTAAAAACACATCTTATATTAGAAAACAAAATATAGGGATCAAATTCTGTTTTGTAAGTACTTTTGTGGAACAAAGAGATTTCCCTCAGATCTGACTTTGTGTTGTATTTTGTTTGTTTTCTGAGAACCACACTATGACAGCGACTGTATAAAGAACACATGTAAAGCTTGTTAAAATGATTGGCATAGATATACTCTACTAGCTCAAAGACTATTACATTCACTCATTCATTGAATGGACTTCATTTACTTGGAAGTTCCCTTATGTAGAACGTCATCAATGTTAGAAAACTTTTTTTTGAGGCAATAGCAAATTAACATCACTAATACAAAATGTGGCAAACTCAATGGTTACCAGCATCACTTTATGAATTATGTGATATCTAGGTAAATAAAACAATTATCAACATAGTGAGACCCTGTCTCAAATCAGATCTAACATTTTTGTAACTATGTAAACTTTTAGGAATGTACCATTAAGCTCAGCAGACCTTTAACCTCCACCAGCCATAAAGCTAAGAGTGCTATCTCTAAGGTAACATCTGGAATCTATAGAAAAGATTTCCCTGCTTTGCTGTTGCCTGCCTATGTGATACTTCCACCAATTGATGATCTACGTCATTTTTGCTGTATTGATTTATGGCTTTCTTTTATTTCACAATTATGAAAATTTCATGTAACCTCTTCCATGGTAGAAGATGTCATTCAGGGGAACTGGGCCATGAATATATTTGGCCCAGAATAAACTATTTTCTTTAAAGCACAGTTACTATTTTACGTCAATAGTTGGAAAGTGAATACACCCAGGAAACAGAATTTTGTGGGTCCATGTTAGCCTACTGTCGGGACAGAGTGAGCAGTTAGCCAGATTGAAAACTCAGCACCAATAATGAATCAGAAGGATGGAGTTTAAGAAAGGAATGTGATTTAACTGTAAAGAGGAAAAAGCAGAAGACTTGTGCGCTGCCCTGGAAGGAGGCAGTCTTTGTGAATCTTTGTCTTTAATGTCTTTTATTAGGGCTAGAGACCCTTCCTTCTAGGTGGATATCTGAGACTTGACACAATCTTATTGGTTACCTGGGGCTGTCTTCCCATGGGTCCCAGGCCCCAAGACCTTAACTTTGGCACTCTTGCTTACACATACATTCCTCTTGCTAAGCTTTGTTTGACATCTTCCTTTTATCCTTGTCTGAGTCTTATCTACACTTTGCCTGTCTGGTCTTCCTTTGATTAATCTCTTCGTTAGACAGGATTCCTTCCTTTGTTGCAAATTCTTATGCCACTTGTGCTACCTGGTGCCTTTCTACATCTGGTATTAGCCAGTGAATCTAACTGCAGAGGCAAAAGCTCTTTTAGTAAAATTTTCCATTAGTCTTTTTTTTTTTAACAAAGCCTAATTAGGCCTTTGTTCTATTTTTTTACCTGCCACAGACCTATCCCTACACTACAAAAATAACCAAAGAAACAGACATTTTTCTACTGAATGTTGTCAGTGAAGAGAAAGCTTTACAGAGTATCTTTCAATCTTGTACTGAAGCAGGACTTAAGTAACAAGTTCTTC